TCTCCCGAGAGCCACTTAAAATGTTTCTCCTGCTGCCCTTTGGTGTCTGCTCACTGCAGTCCTACCTATTGTCGTAGGCGCCTCCAAAATCACAAGCACAGCTTCGGCAGCCTGCCACATCATAGCTCAAACCCCAGTATTCAGGCTGTGAAAGAGAAGGACCAACACACTCATTAGGAACTACTAGGCTCAAAGGATGTGCAGCACAAATCCAAGTGATACAACCCTCACTCACCAAACACTGGTCGCAGTATTGCCCAGTTACAAAACGCTTGCAATAGCAATCGCCGCTGATCTGGTCGCAGGGGCTGCTATCCGTGGTGATCCCACGAGGGTCACACCTGCAGGCTGAGAGCACATGCCAATGGTTTCCATGGGATCTGTGTCTGGTCTTTAAAAAGTGGGGTAGCAACCTAAACCTCCTGAGGACCGACAGAAGAGAATATTTATAGCTCAGCGTTGAACCGTGAGGTCTCTGGTGCTCTCTGAGTTTGGTTGTTTTCTTGCAGATGTTTCATTACCCAACTAGCTAACGTTATCAGTCCTAGAAGGGAGTGGGTTTGCTTTCTCTGCTCCCTTCAACAGGCACATAGAGATAAGCAACATACCATTCAAATGAGACAATAAAAAAACGAAAAGAGCATAACAGGACAGCCATTTGTCTGAAATGGTATAGGGTTTAGGGTTTCCTGCCTGAGCAGGGGGTTGGACTAGATGACCTCCAAGATCCCTTCCAACTTTATTATTATTATTATTATTATTATTATTATTATTATTATTATTATTATTATTATTATTATTATTATTATTATTATTATTACATTTCCTTGCCAGCAATCTACATCCATATAAGCAGAGATTAATACTGCGATTAATACTAGACCCATAATCAATCAAGGAACGACCAACTCAGACAAACAATCAAACATTAAACAATACCCTACCAAGGACATGCCCACCAACACTGACAGGGCAAGCCACTTGTATATAAATAGAAAACAACCCGACGTCCTTCTAGCACTGATGATGTTACCTAGTTGGGTAATGAAACGTCTGCAAGGAAATAACCAAGCTCAGAGAGCACCAAGGACCTCACAGCTCATGAATGACATGCAGCCCTCAACCCTCACTTTACAGCTTGCCAAGCACCTCCAGATTGTGTTGCAATGAGGTTTGAGGCACACATTTCTCTACTTAAACATCTCCCCTCCCCAAAGCGCAACATAGCAGACTCGATGGCTGCAAAGTTAGAGGGAACACCCAACCGCTTTGCGCCACCCAACATGGTACAATCACAACATTCAGATTTCTACTAAGAGAATTCACGTAGTACAAGATGTTTCTTCACCTGGCTCCAAAGAAGTAATTTCTAAAGAATGTTCATTCCATAGTTGTTTTGCCTAAAGAAAAAACACTAAAGATTACGAAGTACGGTTTAAGTAAATATAGACGGGGGGGGGGGGGAATGGGCTGCATAAAAGATACTAGAAGCTGCACTGATAAAGCCTGGCTTCCTAATCTCTCTAAACCAGTGGACACATCTGGAATTTTGAGAGCATGTTAGACATTCTCTCAAAGAACGGCTGTCATGTTGAGTATGGCCAACTAAGTTTGATTTAGAATTGTCCAGAATTGCATGTAGGTGTTGACGTATTTCTATGCTACAAGGGGGTTGATGGGTAAGTATGTAGATGATTACAGACAGGCCAATGCCCACACCTCTTAAATCTCAACGATGTGTTGCATGGAGATGTGTGTCCTGCATGCTCATTGGTTGATCCGACTTCCTGTTGGGAGTCAGGCGATTTGAGGGTCCCCTATCCACAACATTAACATTAGCAGAAATATGAATGTAACAGCTATGCAACTGTCTCTGAACGACAGACACATCCATTCCCAGACGTGCAATCATGCTGAAGCCTAACTCCAGCTTTATTCCCATTTTATGTGAAGGCAAACAAAGCATCAGGTTTCACTTTATTTGAATCTTCTATGAAGCTTGTCTGGGGACTACAAGGGCCCAGGCTCCAGAAGCATTGCTAAAAATCTAGATTGAGCTTGATGCTGGTGTTTCATTCTGCAGAGTGCTTATTTTTATATCCTCTTTTTTATTTTTATTTTTTTAATTAAAGCAATGTATCCTTAGCATATATACATGGGGTGTAAGCAGTGTTAAAGTGCATTGGCTTACAAGGAATTCTTCAGATTAGCAAACCCTGGCTTGCACAGAATAGCACAAGACCCTTGGGATAAAATTGGACCACTGTTCCCCTTGTGGCACACTGGCCCAAATCTGCCAAAATGGACTGGCATAATGTAGTCTCAGTATGACTAATGTTGATAACCTAGTTCAGTGATGGCGAACCTTTTAGACACCGAGTGCCCCAAAAACGCTCCGCCCCCTGCCCCGCCCACTCGGCTCTGCCCCCTGCCTTGCCTACTCCATCCTGCCTCCTGCCCCACCCACTTTGCCCCACCCCGCCCCCGCAGGACTACCTACCACCTCCACAGCCCATTGCGGCAGATCGCCCAGGCGGCCCTGCAGCACCATAGCAGCCACACAGCAAATGATGCTGTGGGGCATAGGGGCTAAGTCTTGTACCTGCTGCCCGGCTGCCATGTCCTTGGCTGCGCTGCTTCGCACGAGCCACGACCAGGGATGACTCTCCTCCAGGGGGCTGCTGGTGAGGACGGGGCCGTGGGGGGAGGCGGGGCTGGGGCGACGGCGCACGTGCCCACAGAGAGGGGTCTGAGTGCCACCTCTGGCACCCGTGCCATAGGTTCGCCACCACTGACCTAGTTTATACATTGCCTTTGATACTTAAAAGCTTTATGTGAAAATCTTGATTGACCAAAACCATGGTAGATTGGTGGAAGTCAACATCTATTCTAGAGAACCCATCAGGTGAAGACCACAACAAAGGGAAGAGTGAGGCTTGGAATAAACGGTAAGTGAGAATAAATGAATGCATGAAATGAAACAAATAAAAATAGATGTATTGCATCCCCATGAAATCAAGGGAAAGAAGGTAACTGTTCTACCATTATTGTGCTCCCCTAGGACTCAAGGAGTGTGAGACCGTAGAGTACAGGGAGTCCTCGACTTACAAAAGTTCATTTAGTGACCGCTCAAAGTTACAGAGGCACTGAAAAAAGTGGCTTAGGACCGTTTTTCCCACTTACGAATGTTGCAGAGTCCCTCGTGGTCACGTGATCAAAATTTAGACGCTTGGCAACTGGTTCGTATTTATGACGGTTGCAATATCCCGGGGTCATGTGATCCCCTTTTGCGACCTTCTGACAAACAGATTCACTTAAAAACTTTATTACTAATTTAACAACTGTGGGGAGTCATTTTGCAACCGTGCTGAGAAAGGTCGTAAAATGTCTTTAACAAATGTCTCGCTTAACAACAGAAATGTTGGGCTCCCTTGTGGTCGTAAGTCAAGGACTACCTGCAGTCTCTATTCCTGCAGCCACAGGGTTTTCCCCAGACAGCCTTGTCACTTACGTTGGCAGCCGAGAGGATGACTGAGGCTTAGGCCGTAAAAGCCTTCTTTGCAGCTGTCACAACGCACACCTCTGACGTCCTCTTTGCAGCGACACTGTCCCGCAATCATGCCCAGCGTTGTGTCTGTGTGACTGTCACACACACCTCCATCCAAAGTGCCTGCTGGGTCACAGTCACAGGCTATGAGACGAAAGAGAAAAAGTGTCTGTGTGGGGCGGAAGAAATTGCTGAATGGGATAGGCAGAACAATGCCACACCACTCCT